ATCCGTTTTACTTGACTACTGTAGATGCAGCTGCTTCAACCCTACAAAGAAATGAACCATCCTTCTGCTCTCGCGCCTGAAGTGCTTCTTCAGTAGAATCAGAAACTTTACATGTTATCCACTCTGGAGGAATGGGCGTCACGTTGTTTTCACATTCCTATCGGCTTCCTTTTATACCTATGCGGGGATCCTCTCGCAGGTCGCCTGGTCTCATTCGCTGGTTTTCGTGAACTGTTCTGTGTTGTTCCTCCGACCGTTGCTGATAGACCCTAAGTGTGAGCACGCGCGGACTCACACACGCACAAGTTGGCACACAAAAAAGTTCAAATGTTCATTGCGAAGCGAGTCCCCGGCAGCCATGTTATTGACGTTGCGAAGGGTTGGGGTGCAAGGAGAATTTTTAAGTCGAGCTCTCGGTTTGGGTGATGCCCCGGGAAGTGTTGCATGACATTTATTTGCCTGAATGGTTCAGATGCCTTCCGGTCTTCTTGGGCTGATGACCTTTATCGACAGCAAATACACGAAAAATTAATCGGGACGTCAATACATGCTACGAGCTGCTCATGGAAGCGCGACGCTAAATATGAGCCGTCTTGGAGAAAATCATTCGAGTGTTAGGCAGCTGCCTGAGAATGGCATTCGGGAATTATCTGACATATATATGTATGTATATGTGTGTGTATATATATGTATATGTATGTACACACATAAACATACACATATATGTATATGTGTGTGTGTGTTTGTCTGTATGTATGCTTATATATGTGTGTATGTATGTGTGTATACATATATATATTGTACACACACACACACACACGCACACACATACGCACGCACGCACGCACACACACACACACACACACACACACACACACACACACACACACACACACACACACACACACACACACACACATACACATACACACATACACATACGTGTGTGTGTGTGTGTATGCATGCATGCATGTATCTATCTCTATATCTATATTTATTTGTATATATATACATACATACATACATATATATACATATAAACATACATATATATATACATATATACATAGATATTTACATATAGACATACACTTTTTGAGCGAGTGAAAAACATTCAGACCTCGACGTAGTAGGCATAAAGCTTAACTTCAACACATCTGCACAACTTATCGCCTGAGGGCTCATGTGACATGATGTTGCCAAGAATATGCTTTAAGCATCAATAAGCGGTATTAAATTAAGAGTTAACTTAAGCATTATATATTTCTACGCCAATTTACACCAAACTCGCCCACCTTTGACGCGCGACATGAGCGGCATCACCATTTCCCTTCCCTCGTCCTGAAGGAATACCGACACAGCTCGACCCGCGGGACGGCAGATGACATATCGGCTGGCGGTGCAGCTGCCCCCAAAGTGGCTTCTGTGGAAGTCCAGTTGTGTAGTATGATGTTACTCCTGTGAATTGATTTGTTAATTCGAGGTACTGAAGAAAAGAAAGCAAGCAATTTTACGTGCGTGCAGTGAAAGAATTCATTTGTAGGATGTTTACCGACAAGCTGTAAGATTTTACTAAGATTATTCTATGCCACTCCTTTGGCTGTTTGTTTAAGTAGGAGTGATTTAAAACATAATTACCGCCTGAAGCACGAGCCGGATTGTTAGTAACGCAATGGAAACGATCGAGTGCTATTCAAAGTCGCCTTTATTCCAGTGGTGGGAGGCGCCACTTAAAAACAGTATCCCAGGGCTGTGGAGCTTTGCCTTATCTTGAGCCAGTGCGAAGGCTTAGCCTGCTGGGCCGTAAGGTAGAGCTGCTCATGTAAATTATATAACAATGTATCTTCAAGGGACGGGGCAATTTTGTTCTGGGAAGATTTGGCGGGTAACGAACCACCCAAGGGATGTATAGAAATTCGATGCGTGTCTCTTGCAAACATTCCGTTTTGCATGGCAGTGTTATCAACCAGAACAAAGGGCAAAAAAACTCGCCTGCTGATGCCGGCTGATGCGCTCCGCGGCACCTAGCCTTTCGCATGAGCTGGAGGCCCCCCAGTGCGGGACATACCTTTGTCGTCAGCCACGCTCAGCCTCGCCTGACGTCAGCCTTACGTTCAGCCACAGCACGCCAGCCCTTACGAAGCCATGACGCCACTCGCTTAGCTTTGCCGAATCCTGGTAACATCACTTTAGCTCTGGGTTTCTTAAACGCAGGCTTTGTGCAAATGAGCAAATTTGCTTATTTGAATGTGATGTTTTTAGAGATTCTCTGTTTGAATCTCCTTGGGGGACACTAAGGCATGTAAGTCATGTAAATCCTATTATATTCACTCTCGCCTCCTCAACGTTCATTTTCACCTAAGGGTCTACTGCGTCGCAGTCTCGCATCCTTCCGACCACCCCATTCACTCATGTCGCAGCACTCGTGGGACTCTAGGCGTTATGCTTAAGGCAAGACATCGCGATGCGTAGCTTTCCCAGTGGAGATAAAAAGGAAACTTTGGGCTTAGACTCCATCCTAACCCGTGCGAATAGATGTAGGATATTGGCCGGCCTCACGTGCCATGAATTATCCGGAAAGGAATTTACGAATATCTGATTTTGTTTACTGGCTTTACATTTCCAATGCGACCTACTGTTTCACAAGACACTGTACTACACGAACACAGGGAGAGAATATAAAGCAGTTTTTTTGTTAATGCAATAGCAGTGGAAGAGGTTACCATCACTGGACCATCACTGGCCATCTGATTTATAATGGACCAGCACGTAAATACTGTCCTATCTTCACTTTGTCAGGGACGGAATACATGCACACGCACGTGCATGTATTCCGAGAGAGAGAGAGAGGGCTAGAAAAAGGTCTATTCACACAGCTTCAGTTTGGTATATTTAGATTTTGTTGTATAAATATGCAATTTGCAGTATTTGTTAGAATATAGATATTGACTGATAAAGCTCTGGATCAAGGTGTCACTTCATGGCTTTGAAAGTTAGCGTTCCTCTGCATTGTAGTTACTTACAGCCACTGCTTATAAGCTCTAAGAAGGTCCTTCGCTCGGCGCGTTATATCGAGCGGGAGGGCGACTGGGAAGGTCCCGGCACCAAGCCATAAACCTCCCGCCGAAGCGAAACGTCTTGTACTGTTTGTCCCGTCGGATGTTTATGGCCCCGCCGCGCCGTGTCCAGCGCCCAGGGGGAGGGGCGGCGAGAGGAGAAAAGTATGGGCAGACTAGGAGAAGAGAAAAGGGGAGCGAGGGATAAACAGAAGAGGGAGAACATATTCTAATGAAGTGTACTAGTGGACAGAATGAGAGAGGGGGGGAGGGGCAAAATTCTAAAGTAAGGAAATTCTAATTTTGCACGAACGAAACAAATGAGGTAAAAGACTGAAATGCTTGTTGAAATGTTATTTGTCAATGTGTGAATGGCGAATCTCAAATGACCAGCTTCGCTTCTTTTGTTTCCAGTTATTAATCTTTTATTACAGTGTATGGAACATCAAATGGTGATGCTTAATTAACACTGTGTATATAAAATGAATGGTAAACTATGTGTGTGGACGAACGTGTCAGTATACAAAAGTATAATCATTCCTCCACCCTGCGCGTATTCTATATTCGTCGACTAGCATTTTTTTTTCTCCTTTTGATACTTTGCTTGGACTTCACAATCTGCATGATTATAATGCTGTCGAAGGCATTTGTGAAGGGAATCCGAAACGCCGTCCATCTGAGCGTATAGGCAGCCGCCTTCTTTCTACGGACACACCCCCATCAATCAGACTTTATGATAGCGGGCTGCCTAAGGTTTCTCTCTCTGCGTGTTTATTGAATTTCCCACCTGACCCGGAGCTCTGTAGGGGCGCCTCGGGAATCGTGACTTCCCGCGGAGTGGCGGAGTGGCAAGGGAGGATGCGTGCTGGTGGAGAAAGGAAGGTCAGGGATGCGGCAGGAGGGAAAGGAAATACAAGGCACATTATAGGAAGGCGAAAGGATGCTATATGAGAAAAAGAAGGCCAACGCTTGTTACAGGTAAAAGGAACGTCCAAAGGGTGTCGCAAGAAAAATGTAAAGGGCAACAGAAAAAGGAAAGGGCAGGAACGCAGAAAGGGCAATCGAAAGGACGCCGCAAAAGACAGTAGAAGGAGATATGATGAGGCAGTGTCCCTGAAGGGAAGCACCAGAATATGTAACATTATGGGTGGTCGGTTGATAAAAGAGAAATAAGAATCATTTTCAGTTGATTTGGTAGGCACCGTCTACTATCTAATTGGTCAAAAGATTTCAATGGTAGCACAAGTAGATATCTTCAGACACTCACTCTGGAAAGATACTTCTGGTTTGTTGACTCTTTCATTTTTGTTTCAGTTAATGACAGAAAATAGGAGAGTAGCATTTGATGAAACATTCCTAGCATGATTTAAAATATTTTTTTTCTCATGAAATGGAATTGTTTACGGCCTTTGAAAACATTCTCCATGTTCATGAAATTCAGCTACATTTATTGAGCTCTTGCTTTACTTTCAAAGATAAGGTGATAACTTAGGCTTGTTAAAGCAGACAGTATTTGTAGCGGATAATAAGGGGTACGTGTGCTTTTAGTACTGCTTACGACTCATGACTGTGTACACTACACTGTGGACCAAGTGTGGTCATTTAGGTAAAGTTGACAGGTGTGCTCAGCTCAGCTGAAGGAAGCCAAGAAGAGAATCTCCTGGATAACTTGCGTGTAATCATAATCATTATCGGCTATACCGATAATAATAATTTATATGTGTGAACTTGAATTTGGTATTGTTATTGCTGCAAGGATAATTTATCAGACAAAATTACATTCTGTTTTATGGTTGGGCTTTTAAAATTTTATTTGCATTTACACTGAGTTGTGATATTTTTGTACTTTTGTGATTGTAATGGATGGCTTACATAAGGCAGTCTGTGTGTAGGTCACATAGTTCGTATTTGTGGAGGATTTCCTAACTGTTACAATATTTTCAGGCAATAGTGTTGTGGAAGGAGAATTTCGAATCATCAATCAGAACTTCTGGCGGGGGCTGGAAGACCCGGCGTCGGAGGAGTACAAGGCGATGGCCCAGTCGATAGAGAGAGAGGTGAGGCAGGCGGAGGCTCTGTCTGTGAGAGAGAGAGAGAGAGAGAGAGTGTGTGTGTGTGTGTGTGTGTGTGTGTGTGTTTACAGTATTTGTATTTTTTTATTATACTAAATAAACTTGGAAATTCCTTCAAGAAGTATATTGCTAAGAACCCATACAAAGTGTGATAGTAAGGCTTATAATGGTCAAAATAAAATGCTAATGATATTCATTGTTGGAAAAATAATTGATATCAACAAAGGAATATTAAAAAAAAAACAGTGGCACTTATTATGAATTTTCATTATTTACACTTAAAGAGTCAATATTTAAGTACTATTCAATAATATCCTCATGGAGAGAGAGACAGACATATAGACAGCCATATAGGAGTAGTGTATGTTTAAGTTAAAAGCATTTGATTTTTAAATTATTTACATTTTTTATTTTCAGTGATGCTAATTTTTTTTTTTTTTTTTTTTTTTTTTTTTTCAGCTGGATACCTTGTTCCTGGCATCAGTTTGGTCTCAAGAATATAACCATAGTCAAGTCATATCCTTTGCAGAGGGTTCCCTTTTGGTACGAGCTAAGCTTGTACTGAACACAGCAGATGTGGCAGCAGCACAGAAGCTAGGCACAGCTTTCTTACGTGGTTTGCACAATCGCCATGGACATGAATGGATGGGCCAATATTCTGTAGATATAACATCAATTAGATTCACAGAAGTGTTAGTAGACACCCCACCTGTTTCCACAACTGGTACCCCAATAATGACAACCACAGTCAGAGAAGACTCAGCATTCTCAACCACCGCAGAGGAGGCATTAGTTGCATCCAAGTCTACTGAACTCCCTCACCTGAACGTAGGATGGGGTCAGTGGGGGCCTTGGTCAACATGCTCTCCTTGCTCACCACAGTATGATCAGATACGAACGCGGCAGTGTCATTTGGATGCAGGCCGTGGCCTGCTCATCAACAGTATTGAACCTTGTCTGCCATCTGGTCTTGGCCATCAGCTGCAAGGAACAGGGGGAGACATGGAGACCCGGCTTTGTCAGTGCCAGCACGATAGTGATGATGAAGTTGAAACCTCAACCACATCCACTACTACAACTCCAGTTAGCACAACAGTATCTTCTACCACAAAACAGTCCCCAAAAGTTGAAGAGCCCCCAAAGGAAGAAAAGGATTATGAAACTGGTACAGGTAGGTCTTTCTTATAATAGAGAAGATATTTTTGATGAAACATCTTGCAAAAAATAAAAAATAAAAGGAAGGATGTAAAAACAGAATTGGGAACATCCCTGTGTGCAATTTGTAATTCATGCAGAGTACATATGACCATCTGGGCAGTTATTCATGTAAAGACATTACATTTTACATTACTCTCAAGTCCATGGTGAGTAGTTGAAAACCTTGAGTCAAAGGAAATATATGCAGCTTATTTTCAGAAAAGTTCCGTGGTTTGTCATATAAATAATATTCAATTTCAGAACGGTTGTGTGATTCATGTTTACCAGGAGAAGTTTGTGTTGGCCTGCAGGGAGAAGCTTACCCAACTTGTCGGACTGCACGAGATGCTGGAGACAGGACTGGTATGTAGACACCTGATAAACCTTAATCAGATCTTTAGTCTGCTTCATGTTGCTGATAAAATTCTGGGAGCTGATGTTACTGAACTACTATAAATCTATTGGCATATACTACGTATATGTATAGACTCACTCACACACACACACACACACACACACACACACACACACACACACACACACACACACACACACACACACACACACACACACACACACACACACAACCCTCACCCTCACACTCACACTTACACTCACACTCACACTCACACTCACACACACTCACAAGGCATTAGTTGCATCCAAGTCTACTGAACTCCCTCACCTGAACGTAGGATGGGGTCAGTGGGGGCCTTGGTCAACATGCTCTCCTTGCTCACCACAGTATGATCAGATACGAACGCGGCAGTGTCATTTGGATGCAGGCCGTGGCCTGCTCATCAACAGTATTGAACCTTGTCTGCCATCTGGTCTTGGCCATCAGCTGCAAGGAACAGGGGGAGACATGGAGACCCGGCTTTGTCAGTGCCAGCACGATAGTGATGATGAAGTTGAAACCTCAACCACATCCACTACTACAACTCCAGTTAGCACAACAGTATCTTCTACCACAAAACAGTCCCCAAAAGTTGAAGAGCCCCCAAAGGAAGAAAAGGATTATGAAACTGGTACAGGTAGGTCTTTCTTATAATAGAGAAGATATTTTTGATGAAACATCTTGCAAAAAATAAAAAATAAAAGGAAGGATGTAAAAACAGAATTGGGAACATCCCTGTGTGCAATTTGTACTCACACACACACACACACATGCATACATACATACATACATATTTACATGCACATATATTTGGTGTGTTCCTTTCTTTTTCTTTCTTTTGTTTGCCTTTATTTTTTTTATGTGTTTGTTTATTTTTTTATTTTTCTATTGACAGGAAATACAAAACAGTCTGTCTATATTTAGATGTATTTATGAGTGACACATTTTCCGGCAGGTTGTGGTGGCCTGTGCGCTATAGACTCAGAGGTCTGCCGAGCTTTAGGTTCTAGAGCTTTCCAGTGCCACAGTGCTTCTTTATGTCTTCATGACGAATGGCGATGTGCTGATGGCCTCTGTATTCCACATATAAAGCGATGTGATGGTCATATGAACTGTTATGACCAGAGTGATGAGCAACACTGTCGTAAGTACAGAGGGATTGATATTAAAAATGCCCATGGTGTCACTGCTGTAAAGGGTCTCAGGGACTAATGCCTTTGTATAACTTTCACAAGCCACAGCCTCCTTCAGGGGGATTTCCAAGGATTTTCCTTTTGGCTAATCCAAAGACTGTGACTGCATATCTCTTGAGTTCTTTGTTGTGATTTGTTTATATTTTATTTTTTGTTACTAGTTTTGAATATGTTCAATATTCTTATGTTAATAGCCTTTTTTTTTTTTTTTTTTTTTTTTTTTTTTTTTTTTTTTTTTTACACAAGCCACCATACACTTACTCACCAAGCATCACCAGTTCAGTATCCTCTGTGTCTCAATATGAATATATGAATCAAACATTGGGCTGTTCCTTTGCCAATAGTTTGTTTCCTGATAACCTTCAGTTCTAGTGGTACTTCCATCAGAATGCAAAGCTGTTGACCTTAAACAGGAATATCATTTCTTCAGCTTTTCAGTTACCAGTTATTTTTGTTTTGTATCATGCTCCTCAAATGCCATATTTCAAAAGACTGGAGATATATTTGATAGTTATTTACACATTATGATTATGACTAAATGTATATTTCGTCCCTCAGAATGTGGGTCCGATCAGTTCCAATGTGGTAACTATACGTCATGTCTGCCGATAACATCCAAGTGTGATGGCAAAATGGATTGCTGGGATGGTTCAGATGAAGCTAATTGTACAGCATGTAAGTATCATTACTGTCAATATTTGTTGCAGACTTCATGCATAAGATGCACACTAGGAGCCCTGGTCTACACATTTATTTAATTGTAATGTTTTGTTCGTTTTTTTTTTTTTTTTTTCCTTTTTTTTTACGATGAAAATAATAGATTAATCTAATAGTAGATATAATTTTGATCACATAAAGCAAATAATGTGACATGTTGTGTAGATCAATGCTGTAAAAAAAAAAAAAACTTCAAACTCACTGGGTCACACATGATTTTCTGCTTTTGAACACCAACACACATTTTGTTGTGTAATTCTCACGTCTTTTGCACAGTAGAATCCAAGAATATTCCTTCTCTGATTTTGGTAGACTGATATTTCTATTATATTAATTCACTCCATGCTTATAATTTCTGTGTTGATATTCCATTGATCGACATGCCCAGCGTACCCCGTCTCAGACTGCGAGAAGTAAGAGATTCGTTCATCAAGCTCCTCTTTCCTTTCACTAGTCCTGTTTACCCTACTAGCATATAGCATAGGGGAATACTTCCCACCACTGTAATTTGAATTGATCATGTTAAGGTAAATGGTTAACAGAAATGAGTAGAAGTAACTATGCACGATGCTTGAATATGCATGAATAACATGTTTGTGTCTGTGTTGCTGTACTCAATAAATTCTTTTTATTTTATTGATTTACTTTTCTTTCTTTCTGCATGATAAATTTGGAATTGGTTTTGCATCATAGTTAAAGAAACAATAAGAGGTAAGTTTCTAACCTAATTGCACAATAGTGTGGTATATCCATTTAAAAACAGTGTCATTGTTAGCCTGAATAATATCAAGGTCTTTATGAATAATACTGCATGATGGATATTAACATTAACATTGTTTTCGTTTTCTTTGCTAACATCTTGCTTACTGAATGGAAAGGGGATAGCCAGTGTAAGTGTGAATCCCTTATATCTTGTTATATAACTGGCTTCTTCTTTCTTTCTTCATTTTATCTTATGTGTGTGTCTCCCTCTTCTGCACTGTAACCTTCCTTAACCTCAAAAACATCATGATGGCGGATCTCAGGTCTCAGCGTCTGACGGGTGCCTGTGTATGTTTTCAGTGTGCCCCAATCCTGACACTCAGTTTACTTGCCGCAGCAGTCAGTGTATCCCCAAACAGCAATTCTGCGACGGGCTGGAGGACTGCAGGGATGGGTCAGATGAACCCTTCGGTTGTACTGGACAGTGCCAAGCCAACGAGTATCAGTGTGGGTAAGTTGTCACGCAAACAAAGGATATTCAATATGCTATAGTAGAAAAGATTGGTATATAATATATGCCTACTTGATCTGAGCTGAAAAAATAATTTTTAATCTTGGTTTACACATCATTATTCTTTATCTGTATATCAGTTTTTTAAAC